ATGCGAAGGGTTTATTCCCCTTCTGGCGTCACCACAGAGGCGTCGCGATGCCAGACGTAGGTTTTCTAGTTAGGTGTTCAATGGAAGCTGGACACGTATCTCCTGCAAATTTCGAGTCATTTCAAGGCGTCACTATTATAGGCGTCGCGACACCTAGCGTCGGTTTTCTAAATTCACCACCAATGTTTACCGATGGGTTTTATTCGAATTCCCGGGGTCCTGTGACGGAGTCCCGATAAGCGTCGCGACGCCTGGCGTCGGGTTTTCTAAACGCCACCAATGTTTTACGATGGGTTTTATTCGCATTGCTGGGGTACTGTGACGGCGTCGCGACGCTCGGCGTCGTTTTCCTCGTTTCGTCTTCAGTGATCAGTAGGCTTACCTGCGGTTAATTTGGCATCGGGATGATGGCCGTCGCGACGCCCGGAGTGTGTTTGCTAAATTAGCCCAGTTTACGAAGGGTTTTGTACGCATTGCTGGTGTCCTGCGGCGGCGTCGCGACGATGGTTTTCGCGACGTTCGGCGTCATCTTCCCCGTTTCGTCTTCAGTCATCTGTAGAATTACCTGCGGTAAATTTGGCGTCGCGACGGGTAGGTTAGGTTAGGTTTCGTTAGGTCAGGTTGTTAGGATTGGTTAGGTTAGGTTTGGTTAGGTTAGGTTTGATTAAGTTATGTTGAGGGCGTCGCCTTAGGCATAATTTCGTTCTTCGATAGCGTCGCTACATCTGGCGTCAGTTTTCTAGCATCCTGCCGAACGGTATGCGAAGGGTTTATGCCTCCTCTGGCGTCACGACGATAGGCGTCGCGACGCCAGACGTCGCTTTTCTAATTAGGCGTTCAATGGAAGCTGGACACGTATCTGCTGCAAATTTCGAGTCATTTCAAGGCGTCACTATTACAGGCGTCGCGACGCCCAGCGTCGGTTTTCTAAATTCGCCACCAATGTTTTACGATGGGTTTTATTCGCATTCCTGGGGTACTGTGACGGCGTCGCGATAGGCGTCGTTTTCCTCATTTCGTCTTCAGTGATCAGTAGGCTTACCTGCGGTTAATTTGGCGTCATTAGAGAACGTCGATATGTTCGGCGCCGCGACGCATGCCGTCGACTTTTAAACATCGTCCAGCGTTATTACAATAGTTTCAAATTTGTCTTGGCGAGACGGCGCCATGTGGCGCTTGTCACATAACTGGTCACCATATTTTGAAATAGACGCTAGGCGTCGCGACATTGAACGTCTCTACGCCGAGCGTTGGGATGACTGAGTGTCTCAAAATTTATCTGAAACATGAATTCAGATGACAATGGAAACGATACTAGGGTATCGAAGCCTAGCATTGCGACCTGCTTCGCGACGCCATGACAAGACCCCCGAAAAGTGACTAATGATCTTGCTGGATAATTGGGAGTGATGGCTGAAAGTCTCCGCCTGTCGTAGCGACGCCTAACATTGGGACATCTCGAAACGACGCCAGATTACGGCAGATAAGTCCAAATGTGACGAAAGGGAAACTAGAAATTTGAAGCTTGCCTCTCGAAGCCTTTGGTGTCAACGCCAGCAGAAGACGCGACGTCTTCGAATGACGCCAATGATACCGCAGATGAGGTTCCGAGTGCCTAATGAAGCTACTAAACCAACGCCATAAGTCGCCACTTTCATCGGGATGCACCATTAAGCTATTTTATTTAGCATCCGCTAGCTTTGAGGAGCCTTTTAAAATTAAATAGTATGATTAGAAACGCTGACCTCGAAATGTGACTGAATGACATACTTAAGACAATCAGAGGTCACGGACGGGTAAGCGTCATGTCAAGGTCACAACAAAACCAGTCACAGGTTTTGCCGAATAGAGGAATCTATAGCTTTCAAGGTCATTCAAAAGTAATTTTTTCAAACGCATATTTCTGACGTTATGTAGGAATCTGAGTGTTCATACTTATGGAAGAGGTCACGGAGAGGTCAGCGATGTCAGGGTCACGACTATATCAGTCACTGGTTTTGCTGATTAGAGGTCTTTAAACTTTCCAAGGTCATTCGAAAGTCGTTTTTTTAAATGCATATTTCAGCCGATCTGTAGGAATCTGAGTGGTCATACTCATGTCAGTCTGAGGTCACGAAGGGGTCAGCATCATGATACGGTCACGAAAATATCACTCTGAGGGTTTGCCTAATAGACGCCTTTAAAATTTTCAAGGTCATCCGAAAGTAATTTATTTCAACCGCATATTTTTGCATATCTGTGGGAATATGAGTGGTCATACTACTCATGACAGAGGTCACGGACAGGTCAGCTTCATGTCAAGGTCACGAGTATATCAGTCAATGGCTTTGCCGAATAGAGTTGTAGATTTATAATTTTCATTCAATGTCTCATTCCAATAACCTCAGTGTCCCCTACCCATTTATGTTCAATGTTTCGAGCCACCATTCCCCACAGGAATCTTAAATTAGGACTTCACTGAAGCAAGAAATTTAACCTTAGAAGCAACAGCTGACAATTTTTTGGTAGCTAATAATCATTCTGAAATTGAAACTTATCGATCTGTTAAGAGCTGAATAACCCATTTTATGTGCTGACAATTTTTTGGTAGCTAATAATCTTTCTGAAATTGAAACTTATCGATCTTTTAAGAACTGAATAACCCATTTTATGTTTTTTAAGAAGCTGCTGAACAATTTGAGCAACAACGGACTATTCTTTTACTTTTCATAAGTGTAACTTCAATATTGTTTTGCCAGTTGTGTCCTCTATGTTGCATTTCTGTTAATTTTTACTGTAGAGAAACTTACTGTATGTATTCCTGTGTGCGTGATGCATGTATGTCATGGTAGGCTGCAATAACCCTCTTGTTGAGGTTACGGGTATGATAACCACGCCACATGCGCTGAATGCATACTGCTGCATGCTCTGCTGTAACACATGGTCACATACATGCGAGACTTTCTTACTATATACTTGAGATACACAAAATCAGAATTAATTGATATTAAACATGTTTGCTGAAATGAGACCACAAGATGAAACGGAACACAAATAGCGACGCATTCTGAACCCGATTATAACATTACATTAATTTAAATTATTATGTTCCATCTAACACTTGCTTTCTAAAATGGCAGGCTTGCGGTTGGCATGCAACATAAGTGCTCAAAGATTCTGGGTCTGATCCAGACAGCTGTCACTGAAACAAAAAATGAAAATACTTGACTCAAAATGTTCATGAGCACAGTGAGGTGCAATCCAATTTGAGGCATGTTTTCTAAATGAGGATGATAAGAAACCTACAGCTTAATGTGGGTCCAAACCAAGGTAGGAACCAGTTATCCGTCGAATTCACATTTTACCACTGCCAGTCAAGGAAGAGAGAGATGTGCAAAATAATCTGTACTGGATTCAGATGGTTGAGAATACAAGATCTAGTGAACACAAGTCCTAGACCACCATATTACACAGATAGAATGCAATCACAATTTTACTATAATTTCATCTAATTATTCTAAGAAACCTACCATAGCTGCTGCTTAAAGCATTATTTGAGGTGGCTTCTTTTCTCTGCCAACGCTCTTGTGCTCGATGCCTTATGGTTTCAAGTTTAGAGGCTGACATTTCACTATCTTCATCTTCACTGCTATTAACTGGTGCCATATCTCGCTGACCTACTCTCCGGGGCGAGGTTTGTCTCCTAGCCAGCGCTACTGTAAACTGTTTCATCTGCCCCCCTCGTTGGCGTGAAAGCAGTGGACTTGAATGGCGGCTCCGTGACAACTTGGGGGATCCTCGTGGAACAGGTCGAATATTCTGGGTATTGTTCACTACGGCTGGCTTGGGTCGAATGCCACAACCAGTCATGCCAGTACCAACTGCTGGCCGATAGTCTGGACTCATTAAGGACTCAGGTATAGGAACCATCTTTGTGGCTGTCTGAAGTGGGCAATTGATTTCTGATGCTCCATTTTCTGAAACAAAACAATTATTTAGTAGATTCACTAATGAAGCAGAACAAACTAATGAACTAACCAACCACCCAATTAGCTCTATGACACAGTCCTCTTTGAATAGTTGAAAGTTAATTTCTAAATCCTGCTACTGAACCCTATTCTAAGCTAGTAAATTCCATTTCACACCATTAAAACACTTTTATTGAAGATCCAATTTTTATATTTTACCCTCATCTACATATAGATCTCAGAAGTGATTAATTCTCTTTAGATCTTGTAATTAAAACCATACAAAGTTTTTCTGTTTCCACAGCAGTGTCCTACCCGTCTTATCTCTTAATTTAGTCACATAAATAATGTTACGTGAAGAGTATAAATTGTGAAACTTGAAGAGAATAAGTCTTCGAAAATAACTTTGGCATAATAAGTATGAAATATGACCAACAACCCACAAACTTTAATATCTTTAATGATTTTGAAAAACATGTATGATATTCATAAGGCATCAGCATTTGAAAATAATTATATGTAAGATTTGAGGTTTTCACAGCAGTGAGTATGAAGATTTCTGTCTTCTGGGTTGTTAGGCCGTGTAGTATGGTCGATGTTAACCAACGTTTCAGAGGTCATACTGCCTTCAACATCAGGGCGATCGCCCTGATGACGGAGGCAGTATGACCTCTGAAACGTTGGTAAACATCGACCAGACTACACAGCGCAACAACCTAGAAAACAGAAATCTTCAATTATATGTAAAAAATAAAGCACAGTTTACATGCATTTCCTACACTTTAATCAAATCTGAAAAAATTAACTGCGAATTACTTGAACAACTGAATACCTATCAATAGCACAGGTAAGGGAAGACATACGACAAGCAACTTAAGATTGTAGAAAATATTTCTGGTGTTACACTTGGAAATTTCCATGTGATGGAGGTACATACAAGCAGGCATTTCACCCAGCACCACTAATTCACAAGTTCAAGCTATCCTGGCTCATAATTCATACTAGGTTGTAGAGGAATTCATGGGGAAAATGCTGTGCTTGTCATGGTGTTCTTTATCCTATGCCTAAGCACTATGTCATGAAGGCATGGAGGGGCTATGGAGGTAAAGTTCCACACACGGTACTATGAGACGGCAGACAGATTACATTCCCAGTGCTTTATCCTTGAGGAAGTAGCCATTGTACTACTGGATACGAAGGTAGGTAGAACCTAGAGCCATTGTGGACACAGAGATGAAAAGAAGGGTTACAAATACATGCATACACATAAACTCTTCATTCTACAAAACAGACGCAATCTTTGAAAGAATTCATTAACCTTTATTGGCTTTACACCATGGTTTGCATGTGGTCCGGATGGCCATGTGTTCCAGTAGCGTACTGCTAAACAATTAAACCCCAGTGTTAAAGTCCAGTCAGCAACCCCACAACAAACCATTTCCCCAAGATCCTACTTAATGTTTTCCTCTCATCCTATTCTCGGTCTTCCAAGAGGTTTTCCACCAAACTTCTGCATTCACTGTCCACCCATTCTAGCTACTTTCCTGATACCAGGTGACATATTCATTATGTAATATCAAAATTCCTTACTTCATCCCCCTTAGCTTTAAGTAATTTCTTGAATACTTTGTTTCCTGACACAATGTATATTTTTCTCTCAAAGAAAGATGTTACTTTTCACATCCATTCAAACAACTATCAAAATTACTGTATATATGTATATATATTAAAACATTTGATAAATAGACTTGGTGTTAACAGTTCCTGAACTGAATAATAACTATCATGTCCAGAACTTATTTTTCGCCTGATTCCATTATGAACCTTGCTCCTAAATGTTACTGTTGTTCCCAGGAACTTAAATTTTGAAAATATCATCATCATTTATTTCAACAAAAACTCCTTTGTTTGCCTAAAGGAAATTTTTGGAGACAAAGATTGGAATATGTGACGCAGATTTTTGAGGATGTGGGCTGCAAAAAATATGTGGAAATGGAGAGACTGGCGCAAGATATGCAAAAATGGAGGACCACATCAAACCAGTCGAAATACTGATGACAAACAAACAAGCATGAAACATTAGCCTCCAACAAATAAATATCCATCAATACAAACAATAACTTGGCACAAGTTATTTAATTCCATCCCTACCTAATTCTCTCACAAACAACAGTAAACAAAGGTAAGGGTACTTAGTTAGGCTGGGGCCACACGACCATACAAAGTACGTCCGTCGTAATGCACATCGTGACGTACGTCATAGACTTATGAAGGGGCAAGACCACAGAATGCAACGGCTTCTTCCGGCTCCATCGGGGCAACTGACGCATCACACTGCGCTCGTGTGGTGTCCTCACCTACGTCCATACAAAAGAACATCCGTTGCAACAGACGTACTTTGTACGGTCGTGTGGCCCCAGCCTTAAGCACTTGGGATAACTTTACCCTTACTCTAGTCATTACTTGAACATTATAAAACAGTGGTATTCAACCTGGGGTACACGAAGACATCTTAGGGGGTAAGTGAAATTTAAAAAAAATATATATTATTTTATGATAAACACTGAATAATCAGTAATGTAATTTATTTAATTTATTTTTGATGTAGATTATATACTATGTAAAACTTGAATTATACACCTTTGGGGATACAACATTGAAGAGAAATTATATCTGGGGGTACGCGAACAAAAAAGGTTGAATACCACTGTTATAAAAGAGAGGAGACAGTAAATATCTTTAAACATAATTCAAATTGCTGGTGTACTACATGAAACTGAGGAACACCTGCTTCATACCTGTGGTATAATCTTCAAGCACAAGCTGAGCAGACAGACTCTCTGACTGATCACTGTTCTTTGTATCCTGATTAACGGATGCTGACGTGTACAACAGTTCTGGATCAAGGCTTTGCGTCATAAGAGATGCTGAAGAAATATCATCACTTCCAACAATACTACTGACCATGCAATTTGATGTTATTGCAGTGCAACTGTTAACCATTCTATCAGGAGACTGCATCCTGCATCGATTTGTTACGGGGAGCCTGGATTCCTTCGAGACATCTGGAAGTAGAGACAGCCAGCTATATCATATTAGTAGTTCTAAAAAGAAATTTGTAAGTTGCAAAAATGTTTACAGCACTGGTATCTTGCTGCAAGGTGTAAACATTTTTTTTTTCCTTTTATGTTATCTTTATTTAATTTATTGGGGGTGAATTTATAAAGATAGAAACTCAGAAAAATCATGCTGTTACATCCAAAGGTACAGCAGATTTGGTGCTATGTATCAAAAATATTATCTGAATTGCAATGGCATACAATGCTGTTCTCTGACCTATCCCTAAATCCCCCAAGTGACCTAATCCCTTCAAGTTTCAGACTAAAACGTTGTATAAATTTCATTTATTTTCCGCTAGCCTCTGCATCCAGACCGGCTCTGAGGCCCACCCAGCCTGCTGACTAGTGGGTACCGAAGTCCTCTCCCAAGAGTAGAGTGCAGCTGGGGTGAGATGCTAACCACTCACCCCTATATAGTGCCAAGGTTTAGATTGAGTGAGGGCTATACCTACCCCCCAAGCACCAGCATGGCATGTAGCAAGACAGCTTTACTTACATTTTTATAAATTTTATTTACACCATGTGTGCTACATGCCTCACCCATCTCATCCCTGATTTATCATGTTATCAAGTTAAAGCAGCCCATCCACGTACAAGTCTGGCTTCTGAGTCTGGCTCGGCTTGGGTTCCATCGAGCCAAACTCGTTTGTGGGTGGGGTGTCACGAGCTGAGTCTGCTATATCCGAGCCCGGCTCACGAGTCAAGCTCGCCAAGCCAGACTCGTACGTGGATGGGCCGCTTAAGTGGATGTACCACAGATATAATGTAATTTTAAGCTTACTTCATTTCAAACAAATTAACTTTCCTTGTTGAATGAAAACCTAATAAACAAAACTTACAATTACATCTTTTCTATTCCCAACCTTATCATTCCCTGTTGTTATACTCAGCTTTTACATCTGAACGCAACACACTGTTACTTTACATACTGGATTGCTGAACTGAAGAAGTCCTGTTGTTACTGATGCGCCGCCTCGTGGCAGGAGAAGACTGGCTTCTGTTCAGAACCTGTCCTCTTCCTCTGGCAACCCCTCCTATAAGACATATACAAACAGGATGTATAGGATCAGACTGACAGAAAAGAAGAGTGAGCATGTGGCTGAGGAAAAGAGATGATGAGAAAAAGGGTTAGGGCCACATGGTGAGGAGGAGAAGAAATGAAAATGTTGGTGACCCTGTTTTTGGAAAAAGAGGTAATGAAAGAGTTTTAGTGATCATTGCATCACCTCTTTTCTTTAACAAAATGCTCACAATTTATTGGATAGCAGACATTGCCTATGTTCTGCCAATCTGGTACTTTACTTACCATCAGTAGTTAGCTGCTCTCTTAGCTGCTGCTGATGTTGCTGAGCTTTGCTAAGGATAAGTCTCAGCTTGCGATCATCTTCTGATTCTAAGCTGTCTCCAGATAGTGGACAGACTGAGGCCAAGTATTGAGACAGTGCCTGATGTTCACCTACTCGAAACTGACGGCCTCTTCCCTGGGAATAGAGCCACTCTGCCTTCAAGCTGGTGTTTGAAGAAAAAACAAATGCTAACAATATGCACATACCAGTACAACTATAAGAGAGATTGGCCAGTAGGACTACAGAAATGTTTAAAATCTACAATCCAAAGAAAAGAGATTACTAAATCTGCCACAGTAACTGCTCTGTACCAACAGAACAATGACTCACCTTTCAATAGCATCCACCACAAAGCCATCTATCACCTTGAGGCTCATGCACCAGTTAATGACAAATGGACGATAGTCAAAGCCGCTATCATGAAGTTAAGGAACATACAGCAGCACATGAAGGAACTATAACTAACACTAAGAACAGGAAAGCTCTAGCGATTAATCCAGGCAGTACAAAAATGTTGAACACCACTCCAGGGGCATTATTTACCTAAATATATGTTAAAATGTGTGCAAGTCAAACTAGCCAAACACTATGTTATCACTCACTCCAAATCCAATAAATCCCAGTGCAGGTTCCTGTTGTTCACAGAATACTTTGATCATAATGGTTTATTCAGATAAATATATTATCTTCAGAGTTATACCTGGGCTCCATTACACTTCTACATGGTGTGGTGCTTAATCAGCACCAGTAACAACTTCATCTTTTATCTTTAATTACATGAAAAAATATAAAATTCAAATGCATCAAAAATACTGGAATAGGAAGAATGTTTTTCAATGTGATGTATGTGTTACAAAGTGCATATTGTGATCTCAAGATGCTTCTGATATTATTATTGTTAGTTTCTAGCTTATATTAAAAGAAATGTTACGTTCTACTTCTAATAGGCAATCAAAACCTATGTTCACCCAAAGCACAATTAAGAGCAATGTTACTTCATGTTTCTCTCTATAAGCAAATGATAAGGATACATACAATTGCCAGTCATATTAACGCAGGGATTGTTTCTAATGGTGAATTCTCGGAGGTTGGTTAGGTGCACTAGATGTGACATTTCATTAAGATCAGTGATACTGTTGCTAGCAACTGTGAGCATGACAATACTTGATGGCAGGTGTCGCTCACACTGGCGCAGCTGTGAGATGCGATTACCATGTAATAGCAATTGCTGAAATTCACAAACAAATTCAGCAACTGTAAGTAGTAAAAGATTATAATGGCACTGTAAAACGTTTAAGCAACATATACATCTATGGTTACCTTCCAATTCAGTTCATACATTAAACCTTTTCATGCATATTAAACACTTCATGAAAACAAAAAAATCTTCAATTTCTTACAAGTATTAGCCAGGGATACATTTTCCTACCTAGATGCCTTAATATAAGCCATCAGCCAAATTACTGCCAACTTTGTGATGTTACTGCCTCTTTTATAAAAAGCAAGATGTCACCATTATCTCTTCTTCTGTAAAGTTTGGAGTAAGCATGTGGTTTTGAAGAAAAAGAATGAAATAGACTGACAGCTGATTTACCATTTTATTTTATTGCATAATAACACTAAACATTAAAGCCTTAGTTTTAATTATTAATTCAAGAATGTACACATATATGAGTCAAATTAGTGTATGACTACAGACTGGACAATTTGGGTTCAATCCCTGGCTGGGGCAAAGAGGTTTTCTCCTAGCCCTTGTGTTCAGACTGACTCTGGAGCCCACCCAGCCTCCTACGAGTAGAATTTAACACATCATAATTATTCACATTCGTGAAGAGCTTTACATCTACAAAGAATCTCAAACAAAACGAGGTTTATGTCAGTTTAGTTTTACTTACGAACGTCATTTATAATTCCTTCTGCCAAATGCACCTGCTAAGTGTACAATGTATACTTTTATAATCTCCTTCAACCACATGGTAATATTTATTGGTATATGTCATGTCATGTCATGATAAATCAACACATTATTCTACAATCTTACCAAAATTAGTTGCATATTGAACAGCAGACATGCCACAATTTACTTAGAAAAACAATTTTCAATTTTAAAAATGAAATAAAATAAAAATAACATAAAATTCAATAGTAAATAATAATATATTGTTAACAAAATAATAATTACTGCTGCATAGTCTTAAATATCTTACACAAGATCTTACAGTTTGTAAAAAATCTTACCTTCAGGGCTTTTAAATGTGAGACATCAGATACATGAACAATGCTATTTTCAGAGAGGTCTAGATGCTCCAAATTAATGTTCGTATTAAGATGTTCAATTGTCTAAAAACAACAAAGCATAAGTATCATTCAACCACTGAAATAAATTCAGATCATTACAATTAAAACAGCTACATATCATGCACATTATTATACTAAAGGCTGTTTGTTAAACCTTACTGATATATTCCAAATAAAGAAATCAATTATACCATACATGAATGCATATGCATAAGGAAAAATATAGCTGTTTTCTAAAACTGTAACTGAAGAATTCTCATGATTGCTGACACTTAACAAGAAAATGCTAATCAAAACTTCAGTGTCCTTCCCCTGCACATCATATCCACACACAATTCAAGCATCCTGATATCCAAAACACATATTCATTCTGTCTTGAACATGAACATGTATGCCCAAATAAAATTGTTTTAATTCATACTTTATAGTTTTTGTTGTTACAGTTTATTAGCATACAGATGTGTATCCAGAAGTAATGGATGATTCAAATAAGCATCAATTCCATGTAAATTAAATGTCAAAAATATACATTTTACATGACCATTCTCCACTTCTGTGAAAACAAACAGAATAAAAGACAGATTAAAATAAAAATAAATTTACAGTAATATCAGGAAAAGGAAAAAGGTAGTGAGCTGCTATGTAATAGCATCAAATTATTAGTCACAGACTTCAGTTTCATCACAGGTTACATAACCACTGACCATTGTCAGGATATCAAACAACAGTTACCTTAATTTTGTTAGCTGCAAGGCACAGCCATTTCAAATGCACAAGGTCTTTCAATCCTTCAATGGTCAAAATGCTGTTATTTGCCAAGTTCAATGTTGTGAGTCCATGAAGACGAGAAACACCATACATCCGCAGCAATTGATTATGTGTTACTGACAGCTGTTGAAGGTTAAAAATTTTGTTACAGAATATGAAAGTTGTAACTGCAAAAGAACAATACATCATGCATGTCCACACACACACACACTCTCTGCATGTGGCTGAAAAAGAAATTATGGCATGGCAGCTGCAACTCCTTGAGTGAGGGTCCAATGAAAATTTTTTGGAGCACATGTTTTCCAAATATGATCTACAGATATACATATTCATATATATATATGTAACTTAACAACAAGCCCTGTATGTAGTGATATAAATATAATTCTATGTTTAAAGTTTACAAAGAGACTGCTACATGGCAAAAGCAATTGACATTTGGAATGCATAATGACAGCAGTTACTTTATATCTTAGCTAACCAAGACAGTTATCAAACTATATATTAAATAAACAGAAAGCTAATAACAACCTACTTTAAGCTGTAACATTTTAATTTTTAATTGACATAAAATTATACAGGGGGTATGAGAACCGAATATTTTGGATCAAAGCAGAGAATAGAATTCAGAGTCCCACTTCATATAACCATTACAGTGTTACACCCATAAATACTACTGGATGATTACAGGAAATATGAACACAAATGAAGCTAACCTAATATTATCAACAGCGTAAGCATGAGTGGTACCATATCCTACAGAACAGAAAAGTTAAAAATAGTACAGACTTTTACACAACACAACTTATTTACAACCCATTGATACTTCAATAAAATACTGAGTGACTGAGAAAAGTTCTTCTGAAACTAAATAAAAAGTTTCATTTATATGTCACCATGCCTGAAGCCACAGTAAATGCAAACATTCTCCAATATTATTATGTTCAGACTACATAAATGAACAGATGTACACTGTTATAAGTTGTCTGGACATTGCCTTCAGCTTTGCACACACAGCTGCAGCATACAACATATGAGCACAATGTATTTTTAATTTCTGTGCATGCAAGGTCATGTGTTTTCTTACAGTAATACACCTCTACCACCCTTATCTCCTCAGTCATGTGACTGTCCTAATTTACTGCTTCCTGAACATAACTGTAAGCAGAATTGATTTCTCTAACCATAAATAAAACCTGATGTCAGTAAAAGGGAGTCACATAAATCAAAAGTGTTTGGTGTTTTTACTTTCTGATATATCTTTTGATTATGTGTAAAAGGGTCTTTTGATTATGTGTAAAAGGGTCTTCCAATTTATATAAAAGTTTTCCTACCTTTTTCAGAATAGGATATGAGTCAATATTATCCCATCTCTGAAGTTCGTTGTTGTCTACAATCAGAGTTGTCACTACTTGTGCATCATGCGGTTGTGCTTTGGATAGTTTCTTCAGTCCTTGCCCAGAAAGATCTAATGTATCGTGAAGCTCTGTAACTTAAAAAAAAATTCACTTACGTCTTTTCCCCACGTAACTCCGAAATACCTGTAATATTATGTTCAATTTAGATTGTAACTGACAATTGTCATCTTGCTGTCTTATTTAAGAAAGCAATTATATAACAGGGTCTTGTTTATTGATGTAGAATACATTTACAAATTCAACATTACTTGAAGTATATACTATATAACAGAGGAAGCAGGAAAATACTAACGTGAAGCACGACTGTTCGCTATATCAATGAATATTATACAATTCTACCTACCTTCTGCTGCCATGATTTACATTAGCAGACGTTCGTTAGCAGAACCATCTATGAGCAGAACAGGGTCAAAGTTTGTTACCTTAATTTCCCTACGTTTGAAGAAGTTCCCTTCAATTATTTTTTGTAATTTAATGCATGGACCCGTTGATTAAAAGAAAAGTAATATATTACTTATACATTGGAAAGCAAATATCACCGTTGCTATTATAACTACATTTATATTTTAATTAATTTTTTCATCAACACAAAATTTTATTTGAAGTTAATTTCCAATTAATGTTGAAGGATTTGCTCCTTCCTCTTGGGCAAATGTATTGTACTTCGTAGATAAACGAATTTCTTGCAGTAATCTGGGATTGTTTGAAATCAAAGAATAGAAGTCGTTGCACGAACGTTTCTCAAAATGTTTTTGTAACTATCAATACTTTGATGGATTCAACAAGAAAACAATTATTTTCATCAATCCACAGGCTATTTGTGATAGAAAATACTCTTTCTACAGCGGCACAAGTACCAGGAATCTATCTCTTTGACAAAAATATATAAGAACCTGTGATTATAGGACGGATTACCAACATAAATCACTATTCCGTTTCCAATTCAAATAGCACTAGTTCAGCTGCGGGTTGGTATTAATTAATGACTGGTTTATCTGTCTTCGATGGTCTATGGATAACATTGAAGATGTGCTGCTTGTTTTTCGGCATCGATACAGAACAGCTGTTTAAATATTTTACGGAGTGGCCGAAATAAAATAAAATATATCATAAAAGTACCTGACTAATATTACAGTAGTGTTAGGTGTGCTGTGTGTTGATGAATAATAAATACAAATTCTGCTTTCGTCTGGTGAAATTTACAAAACGTTACCTACTTCTGCATAATAGATACATTTTTCAAGATGTCTTTAACAATTCAGCAAATAATTCTCGATGCCAAGCGCTTAGCCAACAGATTAAAAGAACATGATTCTGCAGCTGATGCTTTGTTATCACAGACACAGTCTGTGTATAAACAAATTGATGCTATGAAGCAGGTTGGAATCGTTTGCTAATTTCATATAAATTTCAGTATATATGTAATACATAAATATTTGTTTCACGACCGAAATGTGGGAAGTTATATGTAACACTGCACTCAAATCAATTTCATTAACATTTAGGATGATATGGTACATCAACAGGAAGTGTGAAGTATGGTTATGGATTACCATCAAGGTTGCTACTAAATGATGTGCATTATTTATGTCACTCTGCAGTACATTGTTATTGTGAGTTTACACTTACAATAAAAATGTATAATAATTCAGGCAATATAACATACATTTTATGCTGAAATAAGTCTTATCTGTGCCTGAAATTATCAGTAACAACTAAGTCACCAAGTTGGAGAAATAATTCCTAGCTGGATGTGAGGGCAGCAATGCATAACAGTGCAACTAGTAAATTTTTTCCATGTGGCCCATTTGTTACCAGGTATATAGCAAACAACATAATAATTGAAAATCCAATAATCCACCATTTATACTAGAATACTTTAAATTTGCATAGTGGGCAAATAAACATATAGGATATCCTGAGATATGTTGGTAAAACCTTTCATGCTCTTTAGTCACATAGTTCAGTTTGTGTTCCATAAATTCATCAAAATCACGTCATGTATTTGAATTAATACAGTGCCACAGCTTTGAAATGTTATATTGAAACCGAGGATTTATGTTGAGTGCCCTTCATTGATATGACCATGATGTGTACATCTTACTGCATGTGTTTTTGTATAAGTGAGATTTACATGTAACATCATTTTAACAGTATCAAGAAGAGGTAGGAGAACTTAATGAGACAGCCCGCCAACGTCCACACACTGTACTAGTTGCAGGAATACAACAAGAAAACCGCCATCTTCGTGAATTGCAGCAAGAGAACAGGGAGCTTAGGGCAGCTTTAGAGGAGCATCAGAATGCATTAGAACTAATTATGTCCAAATACCGCCAACAAGTTACAAAACTAGTTTCAAGCAGTAAACAGGATATGACAAGTATCCATGCCAACAACAATTATTCTAAGGTGAGCAAGTTGAAAATTATGTAATTTAAAGTTACCCTTGAAACACAATTTGCCATCCTTTTAACGTGTACCCAGGAATTATGTATTTCGGAAGTGTATATATAACTCCCCTGTAATATTTTCATGTAATACATTCATTAGCATGTAATAACTATTTTTCATCTGTCCCTTCATTCTTATGGATGTTAAAAATAAGATGATTGCAGCTTCCTAACAAAACATTTCTAGTCATAGGTTTAATAACACCTTCTCAACTTGTTTGATACCCCCAGGCCATTTTGAGGAAAGGTAGGGGAGACCCATGTAAAAGAGCTTATCTAGATATGGCCATTTCCTGTTATTCTCTTACATTGTTGCTACCGAGTAAGCTAGGTGTGTACCACAGGCACATTAATGTATAGAGTTCTCACATAAAAACTGGATGTTCATCTGCTATTAACAAATTTTTGACAAAATGGCTTTTGGTGGATTTTTTGTATTATCTTCAGACTCACCATCTTGAAAACCTCAAATTCTACAATGTTATCTTCCTTTACCTACTTTCACTTTCCAAAACAGAACATAAAGGGGGTGGTTTTATCCAGGGACGTAAGGAGTACCATTCTGTAAAGGATTCAGAAAACTTCACTTTACAGGGGAACATAAATTTCCAAAGATTATTAAAAGTACACTTGTTTCGGTAATACTGTCATCAACCTTTGCTTTTTAGTTAATGACATTAAAAACAACTGGAATAGAGTTATATATATCTTTGTTGAAAGAGGGCAGAAACATATGTAACACATTTAATTTACAACACTTTTTGCTACTTAATGTAGCGTCAGATATCTTTCTTTGAATATTATGAATAATATGGCAGTTGATGATTGATGTCTTCTGGGTTGTTGTGCTGTGTAGTCTGGTAGATGTCCACCGTTTCATAGGTCATGCTGCCTCCGTCATCAGGGTGATGATGACAGAAGCAGCATGACTTCTGAAACTTTGGTGGACATCTACAAGACAACAAGACGCAACCCAGAAGACAGCAATCTTCAGACTCACCGCTGTGAAAACCTCAAATCCTACAATATGGCAGTTGTTTCACTGACAATAGGATGATTATGTTATGAATTTTGTTATAGTTGATTTGTGAACAGTCAGATAAAATCTGTGAAATGGCTGCTGTGATGGAACAAGCTGCTGAGACAGACGACAAAATAGCTTTCAGTGAACAGGAGCTAATTTCTAAACTCACAACTGAAAATAAAGTAAGTATGAAATGTTGGCTTCTCAAGGAAGCATCTGCTCTTATATGTAATATTTCAAGTATTTTCATTTTACATACATCCAGCAAAATTGTGAAAGTGTCTGATATGACTACATATTCTAAACCTAGTTATGCTTGTAGGAATGCATCCACTGTCTGGTTGGTAACATTGTATTCTGGAGATTCTGGTCCAGAAATCATGACAGCATTGTGGTTCTGCTCATAAACTATACATTATTTTGTAGGATTTCTTCTGTTTGAATGCCTTGCTTGTGTAGTCATGTTTAAAAACACTCTTGATGGCATAACACAACTGAAATGAAGCCTTTATATAGCTTGGTGAGATTTCAGGTTCTTACATTGATGAGTTTGAAAACAGCCATCTTCTGGGTTGCTGTGCCATGCAGCCTGGTAAATACTGACCAGTGTCTCATAGGCGCTTACTGTCTGCATTGTCAGGAGACAAGTAAGTCATGCACATGGTGCAACATTCCAGAAGACAGCCACCTTCATAAAGCTTATTTGCAGTATGTTTCAGCTTCATCATTAGGCTCTGTTAGTCTTGCTTTGTAATTCTGTCAGTATTATAACTCAACATTGTTAAAGTATAAACTTGTTATTAAATGTGTAAAATTCATTGTAGATCACTTTATAACAAACTAATGTGTTACGTGATTGAGATAAAGCTGAAGTTGTTTGTCATTGTTATCTTTCCAGGGCTTACGAGAACTGCTAGAAATATCATCCAAATTTGGTTCACTGCGTTCATCCTTACTTAAAATTGGGGCAGAAGACAAAGGAAGTCAAACAGAAGTCATTCAAGACATATCCTGACATGCAACTTAATAAATATCATAGCTATGAGAAGACATTAAAATAAAAGTCTCAAAAAATTGTAATAAAACTGCAAGTAATTTAAGTATCACTTTATGGTTTGCTAACCAAGTTGGAGGAAATAAAGTTTAATTGCAGAAAACAGTCAATGTAATGAAAGTATTCATATTTCTGTAATTATTTCTTGCAGTTTAATATTTTCATGATAGTTCCAGTTTTGTTTTAAACAGTGGCCACGTTGTCTGAGGCATGGATGTTTGTCAGCGTCTTTGTGTTTGTATAGGTAGAAGCCTTGCAGGTAGGGCTGATCACTCATGCAAGTTCTACCAATGTCCAAAAAATAGATCAATCATAAAACCTCCAAGAGAGGTAAAAATGCAGACCCTGCAAATGCGGGACAAATGCGAATGAAGAATAAAAATCTATATAAAATTATTATGCAGAAAGTATTGGAGTGAAAAATTTGAAATTTTAAACATAACTTAGAAGACACTCAGGGTGTGATATCATGTGTAGCAGCCTTCTAGGTGGACAGGACAACACCAAAAATATACAGCATTTACTTACCTCTTCGAGGAGACTATTTAGATTGATTTAAGTCGATGCTGGCAATTTCACACAAGGTTTAATAGGTCAACATAAGTCAACTTTGGCAGTTAATGTATTAAGAACCCAAGCCATGAAAACAAACACTAGCACCCTCAAGAAATATGTACTCCCTGTTCAGATATCTTCCCACATTTTATTTTCAGCATCTTATATACACTGCTTGGGTATGCCTACCACAACCTATGGCCAATACTTGTAGGCTGCAACATATTAGTAAGTTAAACACCATTAAAGCCTATTTTTGACATGTCAGACCCCTGTTTAATGCTGCTGCAGCTTGAGGGATTTTAATCTTTCAGCAGCAAGCTCCTCTGGCTTATCAACAAAATATTTATTTCCTTGGTATATCGCTTAATTACCAGACGTATTATGTATGTGAACTGTCAGCACCAAAGGTCTCTAGATCCTGTGCCACCAGACTCCCTTCCTAAGGGGTTACACAGGCAATGTATGTAATTTTCATCTTAACCCTTTTACTATTAGAAATGGCTAATGGACACCCTATGACATATAAATCTTGACTAATAGCAAAGGATTAAATATCAACTGAAACCCTAAATTTGGATTCCTGTTAAAGCTGACACAAAAAAATCCGTGGAATGCTGACAATGAAACATTTGTTATATTATTGTTCATTCCGAATACTTGGTATTTATGATAAAGGTTAAAGGATGTGGCAGTGAAACAACTCAAAAAGTGTTATACAGTGAAATGTCCATTTAATGTGTCACCAGAGGAATGAGGATTGTAAGACAGAAGGCTTAGAAATTCAGCACCAAGTGAAAAAAGCCCCTCAGTGAATGGAAATTATGGTGTACCAAATGTAATAAGGTTTGCTAGTATCTTCCCACCTGTGACCTTTTCAAAGAATTTTAAACATTGTTTTGTACCCATTTTCAATCACATACCTGTTATTAACTTTTGTAATCAATGTATAATTAAATATGTATCATGGTAAGACACCATCTACCTTCTTGTCCCTCCACTGGAGGAAGTTAATTACATAAAACAAAATTCACATTAAATAAAAACAGTTTAATCATGAATGTGTGCTGTGATTTTCTTTATATACAGACTATTTCAACACAATGTACAGAAACAGACTGTATACCACCTTTCATATACCAAACATGATACTTCATTCTTAAACCCTGGATGTTGTGTACTCTGATGGGAAGTGAAATACATGTTGGCCCAAAGCAAATATACTGGGAAGAAGTCCTGCATTTGGAATAATGTTCCATGACAGAGTCAGAGTGACATTAGGGTTGCCCCTGAAATAAGGCAAAGGGAAAATTTAGTTTACACATAAAAATTATCAGCACTGGATGCCTTGATAATAGAAAATATTTGATCAGGAGCCAACTGATAGGCAACATGCACACAAGAAAATAACCTCACTTACATTAATCCATTGCCATCATCCCAAAAGTAGTATTTGGTGTTCAAATTCTTGAAGTCCAAAACTGTATTTTCTCCACGTAAAATTATTTTGTCCCACAGAACAACCTAGAAGGAGTAGTAATGAATAATTTCATATAACTTATAATATACCGATAGTATTTATGCACACACTTCATGCACAAATGACAACTTATACCTGGTTTAATTTGTTAGCTGCAGTTGAATATTCTGCTGTAAGGTACAGGAACAGCTCTTTTACATTCCAATTGAACAAGTTAGTCAGATGTTACTATAAATTAAGGAAAATTCTTCCTATATTCTTATACTTACAATACGTGAACTTAAAGCATAAATACAACATTAAAGACCAATCATTAACAAAAAATGCTGTTCTCAATTTTGTTAACAAATGATGCAGAGAATGGAGGGGGATAAAGCTTTTAACAGATTTCATGGTGTTTAGTGATGAGGTGGTTTTGCACTTCTCTGGATGAGTCAACACATAATATGTGGATATGGAAATGTGAAAACCTGCATACCTTACATAAAGTTGTCTGAATTTATCCTAAGATAAATGTTTCTTGTGCTTTCTCATGGCAAAAAGTATTTGAGTACTTTGTCTCTCTTTTTTCAAACAGTGATAAGAATTATTTATTTGGACATACAAAATGGCTATTTCCTCAGCTTCTGACAGATTCTTCATGATGTTACTTTTCCAACAAGATGGTGCTCTGCCTCATTACTTACGGGACATTTTAAATTTTTTCAATGAGACTTCCAGGGACAATGGATGGGATGTAGCGATCCAATTTCTTGGCTTCCAATTAACACAGACCTGACACTCCTTATGGATTTTTACAAGGACCAGGTATATCAACTGGCATTACCGGCAACATTACAGAAATTCCAGCACAGAACCAAAGCAAATGTTAGTAATTTAAAATACACAAGTTATTTCAATGTTGAAGCATGAAGTTGACCCCACACCTTCATCTGTGTTAGGGTTAAGAATGTATGACACTTTATACCAAGGTTTGTCCATATACATTCATAGCTTGGAACTTAAGTGCAAGGGGAAACTAGCTTCTATGCAAAGAAAAAGGATATCTGTTTGCAAGTCAAATGTAAGGAATCCAAGATCATTCTTTTCTCGAGAAGCACTGTAATCTGGAACATTCTTCCTAGAAAAGGAAACATTTTGTTAAGTACACAGACAAATTAACAGATTTTCTGATGAATGATAAGAACTAAGTGATAAAAATTTAAGTAAAATGTTCTCTAATTATGGCAGAATTTACAAGTATTTTATGTATGGTTTTCACTGCCACTATAAAATGTAAGAAATATTTCTATCCCTGATTATGACCACATAGCTAGAAACAACCCATGAATAAACACAATATATTCAGTATTCAAACAATATCGAGAAACCAGAAGTTGGAATCTCTATCATTTTACTCATCTTACTCTATGAGGTGGTATTGCCTCCAGAGGATATTCTGCTACTCATCTGCCTCACAAAGGATTTAAAAAAAAGATCAGACACAAATACAATCAACAGAAATAAATGGTTAAGATCTGAAACACTGTCATAAAACATACAGAATAAGAAATTAAGATTCTGGAACAGAATTAGTTTTAAATGAATCAAGAAATACAATGAAATGGGTAATCATCTTGAAAAATGAAATACTTGGTAGGAGACATTTAACTACTGAAGAAAACATGGAGTGACATATGAATGAGGTAGAAACAGGTAAATGCCTAATCCATGGACCGAAGAATAACTTATGTATGAGCTGGGATAGCACAGACTGTAAAGTGACTGGCCACAGGTTGGATGACTTGGTTTTGTTCCAGACAGGGGCAGAGTTTTGTCTCTCTATCATGGCAAATGTGGCACTCAAGTCTCCTCTTCAATGCTGTAATGTATTCTTTCTACTAGGCGGGAGTGTGAAGCTGAAGTCACCATCGGGGTCAAGAATGCGTTGAGTTTCACCTCCAATTCCCTTATGCTCCTTCATTCCATGGTGCTTAGGAACATGGCAGACTCTACCTTTTGCTTACAAACTATGTATTTCATTAATTCACCACTATTCCAATCTCTTTTACATTTCATAAGTACACAGCCCCAACTAATACGCCTTTTCACAAAGATAAAATAGAAGACGGTGTACTATTTCCCTGAGGAGTTATCACTCAGAAAAAGAAACAGATGTTATCTTAAATTGCATACATTGCCTGTACACTCATTACCATAATTTAAAAAATGCATTACTTACACGACAACTTTGACGGTATTCATAGCAGCGTTAGTTCTGTAGTCAATGAAAACGGTAGATATAAAACAACAGAACGTAAGTGCCGCAAGAACACTTAACGTGTAAGCCAATATGGCATTCCCTCTTGTAAATACTGAATGCATGTTACAAGTATATTCTAACAAGGTTCAAATAAAGACTGTATAAATATAATATTTGTATAAACTATTAAACTAAATTTAATTCCTTCCACATCAACGTGTACCACTCTTCACCACACACTTATACAACGCTACGTCAGTGTCCCCTCGATTGCTAGCACAGAACAAACATCGATTGTAATGTAAAGTATCGTTGAAAACTCGATTGTGTACTCGGCTTGTCAAAGAGTAGCTCACAGTAACACGGACACAAAAGCAATTTGCTCAGCACCATGGTATTTCTATCCCTGATTATGACCACATAGCTAGAAACAACCCATGAATAAACACAATATATTCAGTATTCAAACAATATCGAGAAACCAGAAGTTGGAATCTCTATCATTTTACTCATCTTACTCTATGAGGTGGTATTGCCTCCAGAGGATATTCTGCTACTCATCTGCCTCACAAAGGATTTAAAAAAAAGATCAGACACAAATACAATCAACAGAAATAAATGGTTAAGATCTGAAACACTGTCATAAAACATACAGAATAAGAAATTAAGATTCTGGAACAGAATTAGTTTTAAATGAATCAAGAAATACAATGAAATGGGTAATCATCTTGAAAAATGAAATACTTGGTAGGAGACATTTAACTACTGAAGAAAACATGGAGTGACATATGAATGAGGTAGAAACAGGTAAATGCCTAATCCATGGACCGAAGAATAACTTATGTATGAGCTGGGATACCACAGACTGTAAAGTGACTGGCCACAGGTTGGATGACTTGGTTTTGTTCCAGACAGGGGCAGAGTTTTGTCTCTCTATCATGGCAAATGTGGCACTCAAGTCTCCTCTTCAATGCTGTAATGTATTCTTTCTACTAGGCGGGAGTGTGAAGCTGAAGTCACCATCGGGGTCAAGAATGCGTTGAGTTTCACCTCCAATTCCCTTATGCTCCTTCATTCCATGGTGCTTAGGAACATGGCAGACTCTACCTTTTGCTTACAAACTATGTATTTCATTAATTCACCACTATTCCAATCTCTTTTACATTTCATAAGTACACAGCCCCAACTAATACGCCTTTTCACAAAGATAAAATAGAAGACGGTGTACTATTTCCCTGAGGAGTTATCACTCAGAAAAAGAAACAGATGTTATCTTAAATTGCATACATTGCCTGTACACTCATTACCTTAATTTAAAAAATGCATTACTTACACGACAACTTTGACGGTATTCATAGCAGCGTTAGTTCTGTAGTCAATGAAAACGGTAGATATAAAACAACAGAACGTAAGTGCCGCAAGAACACTTAACGTGTAAGCCAAAATGGCATTCCCTCTTGTAAATACTGAATGCATGTTACAAGTATATTCTAACAAGGTTCAAATAAAGACTGTTTAAATATAATATTTGTATAAACTATTAAACTAAATTTAATTCCTTCCACATCAACGTGTACCACTCTTCACCACACACTTATACAACGCTACGTCAGTGTCCCCTCGATTGCTAGCACAGAACAAACATCGATTGTAATGTAAAGTATCGTTGAAAACTCGATTGTGTACTCGGCTTGTCAAAGAGTAGCTCACAGTAACACGGACACAAAAGCAATTTGCTCAGCACCATGGTTACACACTTCACCACAAAGCCACAAAATAGTTTTTCATCAGTTGGCAGTAGATGGCGAACATACGGTTTTATTGATGGCGCAAGAAACAGGCTTCAATGGGTCGGAAGATAAAGGACGTCTCTGCATTAGTACATAAATTGACGAATCTAAGAAAACAATTAGTAAGGGAGGAGGGGAAAAGAATTTAAATCACGGTTTACTCGAAGTGTTTCAAATGTATGCCAATCGCATGTGATCTGCTGTGCAGAAATAATTTGAAAATGAGTTTGACGTCATATACAGCAACATTTTCAGAAAACAATTTCACTTATTCATCGCCCTGATGACGGAAGCAGTATGGCCTCTGAAACGTTGGTAAACATCTACCAGACTACACAGCGCAACAACCTAGAGGACAGAAATCTTCATACTTACCGCTGTGAAAGATCATACAATTTCACATTTCTTTACATTAGTTTATGTCCTTGCCAATATATGGCGCGGCAGTTCACTTATTTTTATATTAGTTCATGCCCTCGCTAATATATGGCGCGGCAATCAACTTATCTCTTATGTAGGGGGGGTCACCTGTACCACCGCATGGCGCGTCCACAGGTTGGGATAGAGGGACGGCTTCAAGGTAAGGAGGTTAACTACGAATATATTGAATAAGCAGTCGTGGACAGCGGTCGAGGGGTGGTCCTCCAGGTTGGGGGTTGGGCGTAAGGCTAACAACTTTTCACTGTAAAAAAAGGCACTATTACGAACACATTAACTAAGCCTCGGACCAGGACGGACTCTGGCACGACCATGGCAATTGAATTAGGATATGCAATTTGGTACTTGGAACATTAGGAGCCTCTATAAGGCTGGGGCACTGAAATCAGTGAGTAGGGAATTAGAGAATTATAAGTTAGATTTAGTGGCAGTGCAGGAGGTGTGATGGGAGGGGAAGGGCGTGATCCCAGCGACATTTTTCTTTGGAAAGGGGAATGACAGTCATCAGTTAGGGGCAGGGTTTTTGTTCATAGCAGAATTAGGGCAGCAGTTAAGAGAGTAGAATTTGTTAGTGACCGGTTGTCTTACGTAATTTTGGAAGGACGTTGGTGCGAGATCATTATCCTTAATGTTCATGCCCCAACTGAGGACAAAAGCAATGATAGGATAGCTTTTATGACGAATTGGAATCAGTATTTGATATAGATGGCAAGTATCACATGAAAATTCTTCTAGGAGATTTCAATACAAAAATTGGGAGGGAGGATATCTTCAAACCCACAATAGGCAGCGAGAGTCTCCATGCACTTAGTAATGATAACGGTGTTAGAGCAGTAACCTTCGCTACGTCTAAAGATTTAATTGTAAAAAGTATAAAATTTCTACACCGTGTTATTAACAAATACACTTGGACTTCTCCAGATTAATTAGCCCGTTATAACACTTCATTAGCAATATTTAGAAGTGTTATACGCGACAGCACTACACAAGGTAACAAGCTAGACGTCACAGCAATAAATAATGCACTTATCTCTATAGCACCAATATCTACAGGAAGAATAGAGATAACACAAGATAAACTCAAACACGTACTAATAAAACAGATTGTCATCAGTTCTGTCAAAGAATTAGAGTTGATAAAATGAACAGTTTACTTCTAAGGAGTGGTTCTGTTTCCATTTTCTGGATAATATCAGGCAAGTATTTTTCTGAAATAACTTAGTAATATGTCCCTTCTGCCTGATGACGGTGTTACATTCACTAGAATATATACTGTGTACGTGTTCTCGGCATTTCCATAAATAAAAGTTATAAAAAAAAAGGTCTATTAATTTTGTAATGTTTACATTTTCCTGCACAAAATTTGTCGACATTTCAGTTAAGGTTCAAACTGAACAGCAGTTAAGGACGATTTACCTAGAAGAATTTCTGCACTTGTCTCAAATCTAGCTCGCAAAATAGGTTATTCCAGCAAAATTATAGAAAGAATTTAAATACATTTTATTGCCGGAAATCTATCTGGCTAAAACATCGCTTCTACCCTTCTGCAAATCACCGGCCGAATGCAATTGACTTCCTCTGGGTGTCTGCCTTCTTTAATATCCGAAGGGTAAACATTCTGCTGGCAGAGACACAACGTTACCATTACTCGATAGAATGCTTACAGCTTGGTGGTTAACTGTGGATGTTTCACTGCAAGACGAATTTCTCTGACTTTGGTTACAGCAGCGTCAACGATCTCTGTCACCAGACATGTGGTGATTGGGTTCCTATTGAACTCTCTACTCTGTTTTTTATCACGTCGTTGAGGATTTGTTTCTGATAACAGGACTTCTAGGAGGCATCAGATCAGAAGATAGTTACTGCTTTCGATTTACCTGGATGGGGCCCGGTTTTAACAACGATAGTGTTATGAACGGTAGCACCAGTTGTGCAGATGTGTTCGACAACTGCAGAGACCCCATGCTCATCACGAGTAAGTGAAGGACATTTCTTGTGTGAATTATTTTCCCATTGCAATATAACCATGCAATTTAGTGGTTCCTTTCTGTGCCTAATTTACACTATTACAGATTACGACTACGCAAACTTTGTCAGATATAACCTCAAAGTTCTGCGCTGTAGCAGTGACTATACACTGTGCGATAAGAAATGCTTCATACGAAATTTGTTGGTACGTTTATGACCTGTTTAATATCAAATTTCGTACGTTAAGCTTCAAATTTCCATTAGGTACTGCAATCAAACGGAAAACTAAATATATTTAGATATTATGCGGTCGCCATATTGTTATTTCAGGGGCTTCTCATTACCGCCCAAAATGACTTAACAGAAGTTGCATATAAAGAGCCATTCCAACACAACACACAATAGCTCATAATTAGTCAGAGTTAGTGTTCTTTGAACTTAGAAATTCGCTCAACCTCCTTTCTGCTAGTTTTAATTGGGAATGGCAATCAGTTCAAAGCTGCAGAACTTTCAGTGGCATCTTGCGAATACCAATCTTCTCGAAAGTCCAATAATTAAGAGAAAAAGCAAGTGGTTAAATGGTCATGACGATAAAGTCTGTGTTTCTTCATAAACCTTATGTACGGTCAGAATTAGGAAAAAGTGAAAATAACTTATTCTGCTTCATAAACAATGCATTCTGTTAGACTGTAAATTCCCAATATGTGAAAGTTCTTAGGTGCAGCCTCAAATTTATCTTCAACGCTATGTTTGTATAATTTAATGAACCAAGAAATGTTTTATATTAAATTTGTTGGTACATTTACAAAATTTTACAAGTCCAGCTTCTCCAATAGTTCATATCATACAGTCATCAAACAGAAAGCTAAATGTAATTTTCGTGAGGGCGCCAGATTTATTTTGCGTTCTAAAATATAACCTTACCGAGAGCTTTATGTTCTGCGCTTGTGTCGCTCCCAAGTTAGATATTCGTTTTTATAAAAATACAAGACGTATGCCGAGGCAAATATTTACACTTGAATTAAGATATTTTTTCCCCTGTGCAGACGATGGTACGACTCCAAATTTCAGAGAGGTATGGGAAAATTTCGAGCGGCAGCAGGTATCATGTCGAATGACCACAGGCTCTGTTTGTGCTAAATGGACATCCTATTACGAAAACGCAGGTACAAGTCTCTTCAATTTCACCAAACTTAACTCCTTGAGGTAACAACCAGTAACCATAAATAATAAGTGCGAATTCTAGTTCTCACTTCGATGAAACTGATGATGACCGTATTCTGGAATGTTGCGCCTTGTAGCCGGGTAGAAATTAGAGGGACTTACTGTCTCCATCACCAGGGATCATCAGACTACACGGCACACCATCCCAGAAGACAGCCATCTTCATCAGTCATAATTCTGTCCAGTACAGGAAATCCTGACTGTTACCAGCTACTGAACTAACTAATCAACTGAGCTGTTATCTAAGTAATCAACAACGTAACCAGTCACTTAATCGACAATCTTACCAACTTAGTAACTTACAAACGAAACAACAATCAAAGTCACAGTCCACGGTATTTCCTAAACAAATGGCAGTTACTCACTCAGCTCGTGAAGATATTTCCCTGCTTTTACTCTAGTATGGAATTAGAATTTTCATGACCACATTCACAAAAGCTCGCCATTGGGCCATATTATAAACAATTTTAATCCAATTCCTGCAATATGTCTTTAATTCAGTTTACAATTTTTGTAGATTCCACGCCTAGGGCTACCCCAAAGCCATCCCTTCCTATGAGGTTTCCCCCAAAAGTGCAGTATGTATATCTCATTTCTCCAATGCGTGCTACATGTCCGGCTCGTGCATGCTCCGTGCTTTAATTACCGTAACAACAGCAGACGAAAGGAGTACATTAGGAAGTGATTAATTATGTAACGTTCTCAGCCCTCTTACAAAAAATGCTACACTTTCATGAAATCCAATACTTCATTATCGTGTTTATAAAATCGCGCCACTGGGCTATGTCCATAAGGGCCATCAATGGTCTCTATTCTTAGCCAGATCAATCCAGTCCACATCCTCACACTCCACTTCTTTAAGATGCATTTTAATATCATTTTTCCGCATAGCCTGTGCCTAGGTATCCAAGCTGGTCCCTTTACTTCAGGTTCTCCTATAAAATTGTGTAGGCCTATGTATTTATCATCTCTCCCACGAGTGCTACATGTCCCGCCCATCTCACTTTCCTTGATTTCATTATTCTAGTACCATTTGGTTGAAGCTTTCTCAAATCCCTGCTTCTTCCGTCTTAGGTTTTAGGAGACCCGGAAGGTTGATCCACAATTGGACCATGTATTGAGACAGTTCAGTTCACGTCTTTTAAGCTGTTTCCCTAAGATCAATTTTAACAGACTAGCCTAAATCTTAATAATTAAGGTTTTCCAGTCACAGTCAATTTCCTCTGTTGTAGTTGAGTACACAATGCACACCTGCTCCCGGATAACAGTGTTGGGTGAGGGAGCCATGTCTTCAGGGTGTGTGACGTCTATTACGAACAACAGTAGGTGGACGGAACTGTGCGCCTGTAAGTCGGACCCCGGATCACCGCCCTGCAACACAGGAAATCAGACTCCTGTTACGATCTTGGGACTATTCTTTATCATCTTTATTCTCTTGAAGTTTCTAATGTAGGATTTCTTAGGCCTGTAATAGTCTTTCTAAATAGGACACTGTAACATATGTGCGGTTTAAAAAAAAAGATATTTCCTCCATCACAGACTGTTTTATTCGCTAAAGAATTAAAACACAGCTTGCGGCTAGTCGTTTAATTAACAATTAGTTAGTCCTCAACTATTAATAGCAACATCCCAGTCACTACCGATATTTTCTGACAGAAATTCGATTAAGGACAACGGAAGAGCTCTAATAGAAAATCACACTTCCTTACCACAAAGCAAAATAAATTAAAGCCACACGTTGGTAGTAGCACTACGAAAACTAAGTAACAGACTTTGAAATTATTACATGTCCATAACTCTTACAACTGTGGAAGCGTTGAACAAAAATTAACGATAACATGACGTAAAATGTTCTCATACTTACTCAGATAATCACAATGTGTACTCATGCTCTTGTATCCAGGCCCATGTCAGTATTCTCAAAAGCCTTCCAATGTACTCTTTCCTATGTAAATAAAATCCAGTTTAATTCCCGACAACTCATCTCTCGAAGATATATTTTATTACAGTATTCCATCTACGTTCTGATCTCCTAAGTGGTATCTTACCTGGGGTTTACCAACCAATAAATCATACGTATTTCTTACCCACATCCACAGGTAATTAATACTTCTCATGAGAGTTAGATTAACCGCCCACCTCATTTTTCCTTAATCACCCTAAAATGTTAGTTTGACGTATTAAGGTCTTTAACCTACAGTTTATTGAAGCAGCCTGTTATAATCTCAGTTATTGAAAGAGAAAATGTAGTACACCCTCCGTTTGAAAAGGATGTTACGCAGTTTTGTCTCTTTCTACAGTAGAATGCTGGGATAGTAGCCTGATTTAGACTTCGACCGCCTTCATCCAAATTCCTAGTACCTAATCAACAACCATGATATTTTTCTAAAGTTTATGTCCCAATGCAAACACAGTTGTGATTATTAGCCGGAGATTTCACACCCTCACAGGCTAGACAGCTATAAGCCTTCGCCGTACTGTAGCTACCTCCATGGAGCAAAGTCCTTATTGAATAGCTAACAGTCGTTCAGCTGATCAAGAAATTCTGCAACCAGTAGATTCGTTGTCGTATTTACAAGAACGCTCTGGGCCGTATCCTGAGATTGTCGTATTTACAAGAACGCTCTGGGCAGTATCTTGAGGCACACCAATCCACCCTACACCCTCACATCCTATTTATTTGGTAAAATTTTTAATATTATCATGTCATCTACATCTACGTATTTCAAGTGGAATCTAGAGCGATGTGATAAAATACAGGCATGACATATGACATTCTTAAATTTTCCTGTCACCAATCCGAGATTCGAACCGAATGTATCTTGAATACAACGTATTTAAATCACAGTGAATCGAAAGTGTCTTGGTGTTTTGAACGATGAAACAACAGGATTTACAATGTAAAGTGTTTTATAGTGAACACAAAATATTATATATTATACGCCAGCACTTACATCTATTGAAAAATTAATTCTCACAAAAATGCGTTGCTCTTAATACATTTTGTGGTAAAGCAACTGTCACGCAAGGAACCGAATTTTAAATATCTGGAAATGAAGAGAAACAGTGCTTCTTTATTATTAATTATCAGTTCCTAGCGAACTTTTGCTTCTACAAATGTATTAATAAATGATTCTGAGAAAGAAATAACTTTCTTTTTAATGAAACTTTTATTAGTTCCAGCTAATTTCAAACAACCAAGTGAGGCTTTTATAATCTATGTTTAATCCATCGATATGCTTTACAGACCTTATGAGAAAAATTAGTTGCGTACACACCCCATGAAAGACCATGATTCTCATTTACTTTTTCACTCATGAACATTTTGCCTGTTACTTGGCTACCAATTTCAGCATTTAAGACGTTTCTTATAAGATACAAATGTGTAATTAAGGAAAGTTGGGTCCCAGTGATTACCATGCCTACTTCGTATTCGGGAGGTTCCAGGTTTAGATCTCTGCAAAGGAAAGTGGCAAACTTCCCTGTCGAAAAAACCATCTGGTTCGCAACTGCCAAGGTTCGGGGTGGCCCGAAAGGACGTTAAACGCGGTGACTGCGGGGCAAATGCCGTCCGAAATAGAAATAAAACCTCTTTAGTCTGACACACAGCTATTCACTTTACCGACTCCGTTTGTGTAATGTACAGTTTAGAATCACCCTTACATTTGCGTCTAGGTATCTTCGTTTTAAGTTTTCCAACTGAAGTATTGTATGTAATTCTTCTTCTTCATTTAATCCCCGCAAAAATATTCTTCAAAGATTATAAATCATAATTGATTAACAACCTTTTCCACACTGATCAATTACGTTACAAATTATATTGTTTCAGTATTTTCATTTTAAGTCTTAGTTTGCATTAATGAAAGTCAAAAATCCATTTTCGTTTGCCGAAGAAATATGTAAGTCAAAATCAGAATATAGTAGCTGTTTTAAAGAAAACTTTTCATTCATACATCTAAAGCATTAACCCTTTAAAAGCACAATGTGAACTTTGCACTACCTGTTTTAACACGTAATAACTCTGCATTTTGCCATGAAATATGTTTACGGGTTACGTATCATTCTTAGAACAAACAGCGATTATATCTCTAAACAGCAAGGGCCAGTTGATCTTTGTAACAGATACATTATCTTTTCTTTAAGGTAGGAACTACATCTTTAAATATTATTTTGATGTCATTCATGCTTCAAAGAAGATTTATTTCAATTTAGTTATTCGCTCGCAAATGTGGATGTATTTATTCGACTAAGCTTAAAAGTAGCCCTACTGTAATTTGTTAATAAAGGTCGGCAAATGTGACGACGACCATCAAGTGAGTTAACAGTGTGGAAATGCAATACAATTAGGGGTAGTTTAGTTTTGTGGTTGCAGGGATAGTGGGCAACAGAACGGTCACTGTTTCCGATTCATTTGCTGGGTCCCGCGTCCAAAAACAGCAACACAGAACCTAGTACTCCTTCATGTGTCGACGCCTACCGCGAATTGTTACTGAATATTCAACCTAGATTTAGTTGCACTGGTCAGACAATACTAAAATTGTGTAAGCCTTTCGTTTCAAGGATGATAATTTTCTTACATCGGTAACGAATGCTGATGAACAGATGACGGCACGGGACTTTTGGCATAGCGTTATTTGTCTGTGGTGTATCTCCATAACTAACGAATATGGACGTGTGCCCCATTTAAATGGTGTCCGGACCCTTGGACGATGAGTGGGGCGCATTCAGGGTTAGCAGGTTGTATGTTCAAACCCTCCCTTACATGCGTCGCACGTAAAAACTGTTAGTTAAAAGAGATTTTGTGATAAAGCGACCAACATTCATGTCAACAGGTCAATTAACTTGCAATAAACTGTAGCTGTTGTAGACTAATTTTTCAAAATATATAACTTATAACAGTCACAGAAGCACAAACGACCATACTTAGTTAACTGACTCGTATAATTTTGTATATCTACAATTTGTATTTAAGATGATCTGTGCTTTTACAAACGTTCCAACCAAAGACACACACAAGCTTAATCTTAATAGTACACAAGCTTCCATCCTATCCTTAATGCACTGACGGCTTGTTCACATTATAAAACATAACTAATTATCTCCATGAAGCATGAACAACGCCAATATCTTCATCGTCGTGAGAGACTCAATCCTCAGACAATAACTTTTATAATCTTCAGTGTGTGTACATAGAATAAATATGAATCTGATTTAGCTTGCAGAATGACTCATGTATTTAACCCATTCTATAATATTAAAGTCAGTCATTCCGTAATGTAAAATGACGTTTCATAACGCGGAGGCAAAATAATAGAGTATCGCCTACAAAGGTCGTAACTTATTAGATTTACGGTAGGTATCATTATGGTTACCACCCACTCTCATTGCACGGTGTTCAGGCCTTTCGTTAACCATCTGTACAGAGATTCTGAAGTCTTGAATGAACATCAACCATTCAGTTTTACCTGGTAATATTTCACTTCACGCCTTTTTCAACCTTTTATGTGGAGTCGGATGATGCAAGCTACATTTCATATCTTCATAACCTATTTATCCAAGACTCAATTAATATCTTATTTTCGTCTACTTCTGTGTCTTCCAACTATTTATCCAAGACTCAATTAATATCTTCTTTTTGTCTACTTCTGTGTCTTCCAATTGACCTATTTCCGTTAGGTTTTACAAAGAAATGTTTGTGTGCACGTTTATATTTTTTTATTATTTATCGGCGACGAGCTTTCTGGTTCTATAGAAGCAGGAAATTTCTTGGCTAAGTGAGTGACTATCACATTTTCAGCGAAGAGCCTGGCACTGTGGGGTTAGTAACCATGTGTTTGTGACACTGTAGCAGTGTTTAAACGTCGGCTCCGGAATGCGATGCTCTCCACATCTGCCAAGCCAACTGTATGAATAACGAGCTTCTTCGCCAGTGTTACAGTGTCTTAAAACACTGCCTGGGTGAACCAGAGCGGAAGATTAGAATTATCGTCGACGAATATATGTTACGGTAGGAGGAAGCTGTAACATCCGTAACATGGCGTGCGAGGGCACGAACAAATTTTTCTTTCCTGTTTCGGTGGCACAGGTATGGAAGGAGAGAGGGAACAGATATTCAAGGTACGCGTCACCGGGTCTGGAATTTGGGATTTCATATCCAGGTTGACTCCTGGACGATAACCACTAAAGCTAAAACATATCGCTCTGTTAATAATTAAGACGACTTAATTCTTATGTTAACCTTGTGTTAGCTCAGGCGGCAAGACACTGGTTTTTCATAGCAGAGACCCGGGTGCAATCATGGGCGACTTCAAGCGAAATTGGTGATGGAGGGAGTGGCACTGAAGTAGGATTTTCTTCGGTTATTCCTGTTAATCACCACTGCTCCAAACTCATCTACCACCACCTCACGACGAGTCGCTGTATTGCCCCAGAACTATTCCGTATATTTTAATTTGTTTTCATGAATTCAGTCTGTCATCCCAGAATCCACGCAGAGACGATCTGCTTTAACCACATCCATTGTGGTTACAACCACGTCGGAAATGTTAGTTGCGTTGAGGGTTTTCAGGGCTAGAAATGGAGGAAATCTAGGAATCTGCCATTCTGTGTGGTTTGAAAAATACGCAGTTTTATTAAGTTCGTTCATATAAGTTACATTCGAAGCTACGCGAAATGTGTATCTAACACTCTGTTTTATGACGGCAACCAATGAACCACAAGGATGAAAGAATGCGAATTCCGGTATGGAGACAGGACATATGTAAATAAATATATCCACTAGTTATGTGTAAAACAATTCATATCGTAACAGTTATTAACATGGTAACATGCGTAACATTTACATTATAATTTGAAGCAAATTCAACATAGTCTCAGAGAGTACTTTGTGTTAATTATACATGTTGATGAACACAAAATTATACAAAAATTTATTGTTCGTAATTGATATAGGTCTACTGTTAATGTATTTGAAGTAAAG